GGTGCTCGTATGGCACACCTGGGCTCCATCACGGATAAAGCCCAGAAATGCCATATTGCAGCAGTAGCCAGTAACAAACGCTTCAAGAGGAGGAGGAGAAGCCTGTATCGCATCCTCCTACCCACCTTTCCTTTCATCCCATCATTTTGTTGGTGTGACAGGTCCATCCTCCAGCCACCGATGGCTTCCTTGCTCCTCACGCCAACGTGGCTCCACAAGGCTGCGTCCTCAGGGGCTACCTGGCTTTTCAGCAGCCAAAACCCAGCAATCAGAGCCCATCGCAGCATTGCAGACTCCACCAAAGATCCTCAACATTTCTCCAAAGAGACAAAAAAATAATGTGAAGGGATCAGAGGCAACTAGTCAAGTTGAAAGTCTAAAGACAATACAAAATGTTTCTGTAATTACGTTAGCAACAGAAGGAGGGCTAAGGAGAATCTCTGTCCTTAATTGGTTGGGGGGGGAAACATAGTGATGAAATATGAGGAAAAGGCTGAGGTACTTAATACCTTCTTTGCCTCAGTCTTTAATAGCAAGATCAGTTGTTCTCCAGGTACACAGCCCCCTGAGCTGGAAGACAGGGACAGGGAGACAAACGAAGCCCACATAATCCAAGGGGAAATGGTTAGCAACCTGCTACACCACTTAGACACATACAAGTCTATGGGGCTGGATGGGATCCACCCAAGGGTACTGAGGGAGCTGATGAAAGTGCTCACCAAGGCACTTTCAATCACTTATCAGCAGTCCTGGCTGACTGGGGAAGTCCCAGTTGACTGGAAGTTAGTAAATGTGATGCCCATCTACAAGAAGGGCTGGAAGAAGGATGCAAGGAACTACAGGCCTGTCAGTCTGACCTCGGTGCTGGGGAATGTTATGGAGAAGATCATCCTGAGTGCCACCATGTGGCACGTACAGGACAACCAGGTGATCAGGCACAGTCAGCATGGATTTGTGAAAGACACATCCTGCTTGACCAACCCGATCTTCTATTACAAGGTGACCGCTTAGTGGATGAGGGATGGCTGTGGATGTCGCCTAACTGGATTTTAGTAAAGCCTTTGGCACTGTCTCCCGCAGCATTCTCCTGGAGAAACTGGCTGTATGTGGTTTGGACAGGCATACTCTTCACTGGGTAAAATACTGGCTGGATGGCTGGGCCCAAAGAGTTGTGGTGAATGGAGTTAAATCCAGTTGGTGGCTGGTCACAAGTGGTGTTCCCCAGGGCTCAGTACTGGGGCCAGTTCTGTTTAACATCTTTATCAATGATCTGGACAAGGGGATCGGGTGCACCCTCAGTAAGTTTGCAGGCAACACCAAGCTGGGCGGGAGTCTTTGATCTGTTGGAGGGTAGGGAGGTTCTACAGAGGGATCTGACCAGGCTGGATCCATCGGCCGAGGCCAGTTGTATGAGGTTCAACAAGGCCAAGTGCCAGGTCCTGCACTTGGGTCACAACAACCCCTTGAAATGCTACAGGCGTGAGGAAGAGGGGCTGGAAAGCTGCCTGGTGGAAAGGGACCTGGGGGTGTTGGTCAACAGCCAGTTGAATATGAGCCAGCAGTGTGCCCAGGTGGCCAAGACGGCCAACAGCAGCCTGGCATATATCAGGAATGATGTGGCCAGCAAGAGCAGGGCAGTGACCGTGCCCCTGTGCTGGGCACTGGTGAGGCCGCTCCTCAAATGCTGGGGTCAGGGTTGGGCCCCTCACTCCCAGAAGGACCTGGAGTTGTTGGAGCGTGTCCAGAGAAGGGCAACGGAGCTGGTGAGGGGTCTGGAGCCCCAGGCTGCTGGGGAGCGGCTGGGGGAGCTGGGGGTGTTCAGCCTGGAGCAGAGGAGGCTGAGGGGAACCCTCATCGCTCCCTACAACTGCCTATTTCTTCACGAAAGGGCTGTCAAGCACTGGAAGGGGCTGCCCATGGAAGGGGGCGAGGCCCCATCCCTGGGGGTATTTAACAGATGTGTAGATGTGGTGCTTAGGGCCATTGGACTTGGAAGTGATGGTTGGACTTGATGATCTTAAAGGTCTTTTCCAACCTAAACGATTCTATGAAAGATTGAGGCTTTCCTTCCAAAGCTTGAGAAATAATTTACCATGTGGGTTTAGTTTCCTTAATACTCTTTTGAGATGCATGGCACATGTTTCTGGTAAGACCTCTTTACTTACAGAGCAACCACTGGCCATTTAATTACATGTAAATTACCATATAGTGATAAGATGATTACATGATTAGCGGTGGGATAACGAAGCCTCAAAAGCACAGTGTAATTGACAGCTAAATACAGTGTAATTTTTTATTCCTTAACTCAAAATGCAATTTACTCAGTCATTAATCTTAGACAAGTGGATGTTCTGGAGGAACAACATGTCATTTACTGAGCAATGCAACATTTGAGTGACTCCCTGGGGGTGGCCCCGCGCAGCTTTGCCTATAACCTGAGGTCCCAGCCATGCCCACAGAAGGGTTACATGATGCCTACATCTCCTTCTGCCTGCAAATCTGGCCGATACCCGGAGCGAGCTCCCAAGCCAGCACAGCATCGCATTTTGACTGTGTCTAACCCAAGATTTATGAAACTCAGTTCTTGCAAGCCAGAGACAGATGAAGGAAGGAAGCTGCGCTGTAGCCAGGGCCGGGATAGCCCCAGCAGACACCATCCCCAGGGGACACCTGGGTGGGAGCATTGCCTGTGAAAGGGCTCTGCTAATCCTACTCACTTTCTGCCCCTTTGCAAGGTGTCCCTAGATCTCTGGAGCACAGGAGGCCACCAAGGCTGCTGGCCACACATTGGCAGTGCCACTGCTGCAGCTGTATGAGCTGGGGACACCTCCTTGGTTTGTTCTCAGGACCTGGCCATGCTGCTTCCTGGGGTGGCCATGGCTCACCAGCCACATGGAGGAAACCTTTCTGCTGGGCTTCTCAGATCAATATCTTCATTTCTTCAGAGCTGATTTTCCCATCTTGTTTCCAAGTCGTGAAATATCCAGCATCCTCCCCTCCTTCACTGAGTCTGGGACACGGCCCCACACCTCCCCTGGGCCAGGCATCCCCCACCAACTCCATCTGCATGGGAATGGAGGGCAGCTCCACCTCCACGAGGGCTTCCTCGTGCCACCCCAGCACCCAAGCTGGATTCCCAAGGTCGCTTCTAAATCTGCCTCAACAGAAAAGTGACCCCAAAAGAGCATCCCCCTTGGGGACGGCTTGGGTGGGAAGGACCTGGGGGACCCAAATGATTCTGTCGCAGAGAAACACGCAGTCCCAGACACCACAGTCTCAAGCTCAGCCCATTGCTGCCTAAGAGCTTTCCCCCTTGGGACGCTGTACCTCCTGTGGTACCCCAGAAATCAGTAAAAACCAAACTTAGGGACATCGAGCAGAAAGAACCAAAAAAACCCCACCCTAAAACCAAAAAGAAAACCCTTTTAAAACAGCGGGCAGGTCCCTTGCCGTTGAGAGCACGCGGTATTTATTAGACATACATTGGCACACAAGGATGGGAAAGCATAGCTGGGTAGGGATGATTTTTTTTCTCTTTAGCTACATGGCTTTGGCGACCTGTCCATAATCCCTCCCACGCACATGCCGGCATTCCCACGCATTCTCACCCCCATTCTCAGCTGCTGACATGTGGGTATACCTCTTTCATTAATTAGAATTACTTTTAATTAAAAATATATGTAAATTATATAGAGTGTGCACAGCTTGGAGAGAGGAAAAAAAAATAAGAAGAAAAGAAAGCAAACTTCCATTTCAATAAAAAACTTCAACCCCTTTAAATCAGCCGGTTTGCTGACTTTGTGGCGTACAATGAGTTATTTGAACTCCCACGTATAAATAAATAGTACCAGGAAATTTTACACCTGAAAAATTCTGCAGTAGACATCTTTACTTACGCACATTTGCTTTTGCTTCTCTTCTTGCCTCCCCCGCTCCCAGTCTCTCATGATCATTTTCTGCTTCTAAACACCTTTACTTCACATCTCACTTCGCATCCCCAGGCCAGTATCCCTTTTTCTTTTTTTTTTGCTTGTTATTTTTGCTTTGTTTTGGGAGGAATAAAAAGAACGCACAATAAAATGAAAGCCCGGGATCGCAAACAAGCGTCATCATCATTTTTATGAGCAGTGTTTTTCCTTTCACCGTCTGCATCCTCTCTCCCCCCCTTTTCCTCCCCCTCGCAGCTGGCTCAGAGCCTCGCTTTCCGCATGCTGGTAAAAATTCGGCAGGAGACAAACTGTGGATGTTTCCAGGTTTGAAACGTTCCCTGCGCTTCCGTCCCAGACAGCTGATGGACCGGGAAAGACTAGGAGATGGGAAGGAAGGAAGAGCGAGAGAATTACAGGCAAGTGGGAAAAGAGATGAGTTTACGGAGCTTGTTCCTGCAGAGCCGTGTTTTGGGGCATTTGGAAGGAAACACGGCACCCTGCAGGGAGCGGCTTCACTCTGGGCGAGGTAGGTACCTGCTTTTCTTATTTGTGGGTTCATAATACCCCTTTCTGTTGAAAAGTAACAATAATATTAATAAAAAAAAAAAAAAAAAAAGAAGTAACATCCTAGTTGTTTTCGTTCAAGCACTCTGGCTGTGTTGAGAAAGGCAGCAGGAGTTTCGTGTCCCCTGGAGAACAAAAAGAGCGGGAGGGCAGGGGGGGACGAGGGCGCGGGGCTGGCGGTGGCAGCAACACAAACTGGGTGGGGACGGTGGCGGGGGCAGAGTGAGCCGATCTGTTGATTTTTTCTTTTGAAACAAAAGAAAAAGGGGAGGGGAGGGGGGGAGCCAGTCACACCGAGGCCGATGACTATTTCATCTGTGGTTTCAATCAGTGTCCATCCCTCTCGAGTGCTATCGGTGAACATTCAGTTAAAGCAGTCTTGCAAAATACTCTCGCTTTTATTATCGACAGGGTATTTTTTCCTTTTATCCTTTTCCCTTTTTTTTTTTTTCCTTTCCCCCCTCCCCCCCCCCCAGCTAACGCTCTCGCGCTTCCCTGGCCGCCTCGTTAGCTGTTCTCGCTCCACTCTGGCACCATGCCCACGCCGTGGACAGAGTGGTACTGGTGGGGGGAAAGGGTTCGAGGCACGCCGTGGGAATACAGGAACTCTGCCGGCTGTAAGCTGCTGGGGGGGGACTGGATGCCGGTTTGAGGTCCACACTGCCGGACGATGGGTTGGTGAGAAACCGAGGTTTGGTGCTGAAACATGCTATGGGTATCTCCTATTTGGGGAGAGGTATGGTTGGCCACGCTGCTGAGCCGGGGCATCAGCGGCCCCGAGGTGAAGTGGGCAGAGAAATGCTGGTAGGGTAACCTGTCCATCGGCTGCATGGCAGACACTGTGCAACTGCTGTAGGATGGCACACTCGGCCACGTGTTACAGCTGATGTCTTCCAGGCTGGGCACAGGGTCCGTGGGGGGAGCGGAGCTGGCATACATACATGCTTGGCGCTGGGCTGATTCAGTCCTGTATGAAGTGTTCAGTCCCTGCTGCTGGGGGTAACTGGACCTGTAGAAAGGATCCTCTTCTGCTGGAGAAGTTTCCATGTAGGGCTTCTTGTAGGGATGCTCGGTGGTGGAACATTCCTCATCTGTTGGGAGAGAAAACTCCTGGTAGCAAACAACAATACCATGCCCTCGGCTGAACCTCCCGCTCCGCAATCCTTGTCCAAGGACACAGCCTGCACAGAGCTGATCCAGACACTTCTCTTGGTTATGTCAGTGCAAATCCAGATCCCTTCCTTGGAATCAATCTGAATAGATCCTACTGAAACCAAGTCTTGCACTTGGCCCTGTCTGCTGGGCTGGGAAGGGATTAGCTAGGAGCTCTGGGGGGAAAAGCAGGGCTACAAGATGCTGGAGGGGATCCAGAGGCTGAGTTTGCCTGGTGATAACCCATGCACACCCCCACACCCCTCCTGTCCTTTCTGCTGCCAGTGCTTCGACCAGAGGAGCCACATCTACCTGCGGATACAGCGCACCGGACAGAGGCCCCCGCTCCCAGCTGAGAGGCTCAGAGCCCATGCTGTTAACTAAAAGCCTTTACAGCAATACACTTTCACGATAAATGAGACAAAAATGGAGATCACAATAAAAATTCCCCTGGGAGACCATCAGCGATGGCACAGTCGAGAGAATCAGATTTGGAGTTTTACAACCCCGGTCTTTAGCTGTGCCAAGGGAGCCGGGCACATAAATCCAGGCAGGGTTGTGCGCTGGAGCCAAGCACAACAAAAAAGAAAAGTAACTTTCACAGCTCGAAACAAGGCACGGCTTGCAGAGCCCTTTGTTTCCTGCAGCATCCCGGGCCAGCGGAGGGAAGGAGATAAACAATTTAGGTGAAATCTCTAGGGTAAGCAAACTGAATAAATGAATATGCACTTATTTATTCATTCGCAGGGTCATCAAATGAAATCCAGCTCTGCTGGAATGGATGGCAAAGTTCCCAGGGATGAGCGCTTCACCAAGAGATTTTAAGGACAGCGAGGCAAGGGAAGGGGAGCTTGTTCTGACCCGGATTAACTTTGCTGTTGCTTCAAGAGCAAGATTCCTGGTGCAGGCAGAAAAACGCCCCGCTTTGCTTAAAGCCCTCTCAGATGCACCCTTTCAACATGGGTAAAATTGGAAAGAATGCTGCAAGAAATGGCCCTTTGCAGATTTTCTCAACCAACATGTTTTGAGCTGCAATTTTCTTCACCCCCAAAATATAAAGGATAAAAAAAACAACACTTCCACAAAAAAAGAAAAAATAGGAGGATTAAAAGCATCTGCCCCCCAAGAAGCACTTGCTCACTTGCTAAACCAGAGGTGTTGCTGCTGGGCTGCTCTAATGTGGGCGCCCACGTCTCACCTTCAGGAGGTGCAGATGGGCAACGCGGGCACCTTTGGCTTCTTGTAAACACGCGCAGGCTCATACCTTCATTGCGATAAATAGCCAGGTGCTTTCTCTGGGAAGCCGCACCCACCCTGCTTGTAAAATAACCCATCACCCCCGCTCAGGTGCCTACCACCAAGTCCAGCTGGAACAACTGCTGTGGTCAGGCCGAGAAGACTACCAACCCCAGAAAACATTGGGTACCAAGGTAGGCGCCCTGGGGAGTTTCCCCTGGGTGGCCTTTGACTTTATAATAGTAGCTGGCCATAAATTCAGCTGGCGAGCACAGTCCCGCTTCAATGCTTTCGTCCTGACAAGAGCAAAACTCGGCTCCTTAGTCCCAGCAAGGCAGAGCCCTGATAATCACATTATCTTCCTCCTCCACCTTCTCTTAAACGGGGACAGAAAGTTGGATGGGATAAGCGAGCAAGGCAATTGCATCTTTGAAACAGTTGAAACAATAAATGCAAAAGTGCATCACTCCCCTTAAACCTGATCGGGTTCGTTTTCCATAGGAGCAGTGGAGGGGATGCAGTCCACCCTAAAAGACAACAGCTGGAAGCACAGGTCTACACTCCCTCCTGAGCACAGGGCTATCACAGGAGACACCTGGTAGAACAGCCGGGACTCTTACAGACAGCCTAAAAGTTCGGGATCCCTAACCCACCACTGAGTAATAAGAACACTAGGGTGGAAAAACAATGTCTTGTAAAACGAAGCATTGTTCTGCTAATAAAGTTTTCAGCATTAAACTTGCATTACTCTGCTGGCATCAAAAATCATTGGCTTGGGGTTTGACTGTTGACTTTATTTTATTTTTTTTTCAGTATACAACACAAACCAGTCAAACACTGTTTTTCTGTTGTGCAAAAACGCGCCTGACTTACAACCTGAAGTTGCTGATTTTTCCATTTAGCCCAGACGTTTCGCTGCCTGCCACAGTCCAGCCAGGCAGAGCCGCAGTTACGGATCCGCTTCCAGAATTCATTGCAGGTGAAGAGAGAAAAACAAAAAACACCAGCATTTCAGTGAAATCCTGATAGGTGCCATCTCTTCCATAAGTTCTCACTGGCCTCTTGTGCCAGGCTCACTGATGTCATCTGTGGAAAGGGCACCATCACACCAGATTTTATGATGTCCCCATCCATCTCAGAAGAGGACGCAGTGGCTAACAAAGGACTACAGCCTACCCTAACGGCTTCTGCCTGTCTTCTGGCCCCTCCTCCTGATGATTTTCCCCATCTGTGTAACCTCAAATGCTGGAGAGGGAAGAGAAGGGTCCATCTTCATCATCAAATGGCAGGATGCAGTCCAGAGGTCCTCAGCTGGTGCCAGCTGATGAATTTACACTGCTCCAGGCTCTCTAGTCTGATCTGGCTTTGTCCCACCACTCCCTGGGGAGACCAGAGCCAGCACAGGTGAAGCACATCCCCATGGTGTGGTGGGAAGGGGACATCTTCAAGTAAAAGACTGGCAAGAGGAGGACAAGTCAAGCAGAGCTCTCACGCAATGCTGAAGGCTGCAGTCTGAAGTCCTCTCCACCTGCTCTGGAGCCTGGACAGTGTGTCCCAGGGCCATAATCCTGAAGGTCCTCTCACCTCCTCAGCATCAGTGTAAGCAGGACACAGAAGATAACCGTCTGGTCTGCTCTGTGTTTGGTTCTTGATGTTGGTTCCCTGATAGCACTTCATTGTCCTTTTCCTGTTGTCACTGAGCCCTAGGAGGTGCTGGGCAACTCTGGGAGATGCTACCATCCTGGGAGATGCTGACCATCCTCCACTCCTGGGAGCCAAGAATGGACGCCAAGAGTGGTGATCAGCTTTTGTGACCAGCCCCTCGATACTGTGCAAACCTCAAAAAGCAAAAGGTTCTGCCAAGCAGGGGAAGCTGCCAGAGTTTGGGAGAAGCTGCTCCAAAGTGGATCCAAGGAAAACGGAGCCTGCAGAATGGGGTGGAAACTGGCTCTCTCACAAGGAATTTGATGATCTATCTAATGAAGGAGCTTGAGTGAGAGCATAAGCAGTTCCAAGATTTCCGGTATTTACTACTTCCAGCTGGGTTGTAAAAACCACACAAATGGCTTTTTAAATGGAATTTTCCCAATTCCAAGATTAGGGCCATCCAGAATGAAATGCAAACATGTAAAATCTCTGGGCTTCAGGGTGTGCTGGGCACACCTCTTCCCCTGGTGTAAGTCAGGGGAGCTCCCTTCTAATTCCTGACAGCCAGCTCCCTGGGACAGAGGACAATGAAGAACAGCACCCACTGGTTTAGTTTTTAAAGCTCACCCGCACTTGCAGGGCATTACAGTAGGTTCATCCTGATTTTGTGAGGAAGATGCAATGGGTGAATCACGAACACTATCATTTTATCCAGCCTGGTTTCTAGAATGAATCTAGCATGAGCCAGAATAGCCATCACAGTGTGCAAAACCAGCAAGGGTTGTCAAAGGAGAACAGAAAAAGGCAGATTCGACTAAAATGAGCCCCCCTAAAGGGCAAAGCAGACGTACAGCCTAGGGCGTGAAACCGAAGACACGCTGGTTATTCCAGCAGCTGCTCAGTTTGCAGTATGGCTGCGTTGCATTGCAGGGGAGCACGACGGAAGGGGTTGTGGGGCAGAGACAATCCAACACCCAAAGCTGGAACCTCTTCCAGAGGCAGTGAGCTGCCAGCACTGCCTGCATAGGCACATCCTGGTGGGAGAGACAGATGCTTCCATGAAGCTGCTGAAACTACAGCGCCATAAGCAATGTGTCCACCCAGCAAAAGCTGGGTGCACACCAGCCCCCTGAGTATCTCCCCACCATACAGGCAGGCTCTTCACCCTCAGTGCCTCAGCAGCCACCTTGCTCTGGGCTCCACTGTATCTACCCAAGCTGCAAACACCTCTGGCTGCAGCATAGCTCAAGCCTTGGCCAACTCATTGCATCTCCTAACATAGGCAGGACGAGCAGCATGTCTTCCAAGAGGACATCCCATACCTGACTTCTGTCCTACAGATTCTTTGAGTGAAAGAAACGCTGGGTGCGATGAGGGAGAAATCAGTTCAATCAACGAAGAGATCCATCCACCTTAACAGTGCCTGTTCTTGTGGAGAAGGGGGAAAGGTATTGCTTTATCTCCACCAACCTCAGCAGAGCAAGAAGGAGATGAAAGATATATTCTTCCCCACGGGCAGAGTCGTGTCCAGCCTAGGTGGCTAGAGGATACGGTCCTTGCTGGTTGGAGCCAGTGGATTCTGCCACATCCCTCTTCTCCCTCAGAGTGCCAACATGACAACTTTTATAACCTCCCCAGGGAGAGGTTGTTCCAGTCGCCTCCTGTTCAGCAGCAGAAGCATCCCAGAAATCTGCCAAGTGGTTGAGATTGTGTAAGGCTGGGAGGGAGCAGAGGTTTAGAGGGATGGCTTTTTAGTTCACGGGAAGGCTGAGGGAGGAGGATAACACAAGGGAAAACAAGCCCCAGTGCCCTAATTGGGACATGGGGCTAAAATGAAAGACAGAAAGCAAGCTGCCTGCTGGTAAGTCCTTTTGGGCTTCTCCAAGTATAACAATGAGAGAGGGAGAGGTGGAGAACAACCAGAAAAAAGGCAAAGCCCTAACGGGTCTTTGTTGCAACCTAAAAATCCACATCAAGAACTGAAGCCACGCCTCAGTAGGATACAAGATTGGAGTTATTCCATCCTCTTAAGACCAGTCTCTTTGTGAAATGCCACAAGCAATCTCAGTGTGGAGCTGGGATACAGCACAGGATTATTATCGCCTCAAGGACTGCCGTACCCCAGCCTTCAGCATGTTCAGAAGGTGCCTGAAGCAGCAACCCCATTGCACCACATTGGGATCCTTCCCAATGCTGCAACCCTGTGCTCCCACCCAGGCACCAGGAATTGCCAGCTTTGGGGCTCTGGGACATGTCCTCCCTTCCTTCCTCACCCAGAGGAGCATCAGCTCCCTGAAACAGAGGAGCCTTCAGAGATAACATTCCCTCACAGCCCTGCTGCTCTCCCCTAATGTAACTCCATATCAGATCTCCAGAGTGAATCCATCTTGGCTTGACAGCTAAGAACAACACTGTCAACCACAGAACTCAATCTTTGTCTCAGGTCACCAAGGAAGTAGATGTCGAATAAGGTGCCTTTGAGTTGCTCAAATACAGACCTAGTCTTAACTGAGCCTAAGCCAAGACTTGACCTCCTGATTAAAAAAGATACAGAGAAACATCATGAGATGTCAAAAGCTGGAAGGAGCCATATCTGAGAGACTATCTCGGAAAACAGTGGTGGTATTTGCTACAGAAGATACAGACACCAGTTGGTCTCAAACCCAGCCGAATTGCCCTCTGCCCCTGCGAGCACTTATCCATAACCGCAGCCTTGAGAAAAGGAAATAATCCATTTGAGATAAACCCTAAACTGACGGAGGAGGAGTCAATGTCTGAGGAGCTGGTGATCCAATGAAAGCAATAATACTTCCAGTCCAGAAAATGGACAGAGGTGCATTGGGAGTGAACACGCTCTTGCTTTCATGTTTTCTTAGGTGGTGAGGCTTGTTCAAGCTTATGCGGGAAAGCAGGAGAGCTGTGAGGGAAAGCTTAATATTTCACTTAGAAAGGAGAAGCTGGAAAAGGAAGAAAAAGAGGAATATTATAGGTAAGGTTATTTTCCCAAGTTCAGTAAAGATCCTTGCTCCGTGCTAGAAGAAAGCGTCGTGCTCAGTCCGGGTTTGAGATGAAACCTTGAATCACGTTCTCATTTATCTGAACAGAATTGCTCATCTCTAGTGACTCTTTTTTTAAAATTAATTTCACTTTGCAAAGAGTTGCTTGGCAGCTTATGTCGGCTCTCTGTTTCCCATTAACTTTGTGCTTCATTTCTTTAAGCCCTGGTGGCTGTTTTCGATTTGCTAGATGCATGGGGAGGGGAAAAAAGGCACAGGGAGGCAAGCAGAGACTCAGGCTCCTGAGACATACAGCTTCACGGAAGAAGCCGGTGGTATCGGACAGGACACTGCTTCTCTTTGATTAAAGTATTTGGCGGCTTTGATAAAAGGCCCTTAACTGCTTGTGCCACTCAAGCCATCGTAGAGATAATGAGGGGCCATCAGCCGTACAGACAAGGGCTGGCTTTGCCAGTCTCCTGCACTTTCACAAGAGCCACGCAGGCCAAAAGGGGCCGGAGAGCTTATTACAGGGCAGATAGTCGTCTCTTTTGTGACAATAAGAGGAAGTGAGATAATTGGGGGATTGAGGGAAACCACCCATGGAGACACCACTTAGCGGGAATCCCAAAACTGGAAGGAAACCTCTGTTGATTCCTTATCACGTTACAATGTGGAGGCGAATGATGAATTGCCCTGCGGTGTGGGGACATGCAGCAGTTGGAGATCGTCGAAAGGGTTTGTTGCCATTTGGGCCAGCTTGTTTAGGTTAGGTTTTGCGAAGGAGAGGAGGAGCGGTGAAAGCTCAGCTCCCAGGGCAAAGGAGCACCAAGAACGGATCCCAGGCTGAGGAACACCAAAGGCAAATGGAACCTGCCTTTCTACCACCAACAGCAGGGCTTTGCAGCAACCCAGGTGTGTCCCAAAGCTTTGCCACCCCCAGTCCCACACCAGCATGGGGGTAGCAAGGGCCACACACCCCACCTCTGGCTTTAGGGGACACTCTGGGAGACCACTGCAACTCCTTATTCCCTACCTTAAAGCTAGTTCACATCTAACAATCACCTTTTCCTGTCACGGCTTTGATGCACTCGATACAAGCACGAGGGTTGCCTGCTCGGCTGGAGGGGTCAGAATATGACACCTCTGTTTTCCACCATTTGGCTCGATCTTGCATCAGGAAAATATTAAGATTTATCAACTTTTTTTTGGTTTGCATATATACTTGTACACAACACACGTGATGTTACAATGTTCAGGGGATTCACCACGGATGAGAGAGATTTCCACCGCCCTCCTGCCTCATCTGCCAGAACTTCCCTGCATCCGCTACCTTAGACTGTGTCTACGCAGCACATCCCAGAGACCCAGGGGTTACGTTACTAAAAATAATGACATATGGGCGACTGATAGGACCGCGCAGGGAAGCGGGAAGGGCTCTGCTGTGGGGAGAGGCTACCGGGCTGGAGATATTCTTGGTGCATGCTGACTCCTTTTACCTTTTTCCATGCACCATAGATTAAATCCTAAACAAAGGGAACAGGGGTAGGCAGAAACCATCTCCTGCATACCCAGAGGGTTGCATTCAGCCCTGGAAATTCCCTATTTTCTTCTGAATGTCTGGGGTGGAGCTGATCTGAGGTTTTTGCGGTCCGTGTCCTGCAAGTGTTTCTGCACCTCATCATTCCCATTGCTTTGGGAGAGGAAGGGAGAGACTGCAAACTGCTCGGTCCTGCCCGAGAACAATTATCCCAGGGATACCGTGGGGCTCTTCACGCCAGGACGAGCTGAGCAGTCAGTGTAAAGCCCTCACAGTTTGACCCCTCGAGCTCTGTCAAAGCAGGTCAGTCGCACCAGAGGGGAACGAACATGGATATCATGGTTTTCAATCCCACGACCCGGCCATTAGACCGAGCATTTAAGAGGAAATGCTTTCTGCATACAGACAACTGTCTCCCAACCATGAGACTCTTAGTTGAAAACTGTGCAAAATCCAAGCTGTCAAGGTATCTCCACTTGGAGATTAACCGGGTCGGAGGGGCTATGGAGACAGATAAGCCATCTTTATCTCCAGCACCAGCTATCTTACTGAATGTGGATTCAACGTGGGCAAAAGGTGCTGCCACCCCTCCAAACAGCTCGCTCCCAGCCCAGCGGCGGAGATGGGGTTTTGGGCTAGCACCGGTGAGAAGATTTTCCCAGCCCAGCCTGGGGGAACTGCCCACCTCCAGCACACAACCGCCATCCTTTGCTCACCCTCCAGCATCACTGTAAAGCAGGCTGGGGCTGTCCAGCCTGCGGGTAGGGGGAAACATCAGAAAACAATGCTGACAGTCACGTTAGGAAGGGAAAAGCCATGTAGCAAGCGTTGAGCAGGGAGCAGCCAAGGCCTGACCTTTTCTCTTGGTGCAGTGGTAGATCTGGCTGTGCTCCTGGGAGATCGGGTAGGGGTTGGCAGGCGGTAGCAGGTCCTGGGAGGTGCTCGACACCCCGTTCTCGCACTGGTACTGGGAGCCCAGGTTGGAGGAGGCAGAAAGGACCCTGGTCTCACCACTGAAGGGGCTGTGATTCGAGGACACTTTTTGTCTCACTGTGCTCCTGGGAACAACCGGGTACTCTTTACTAAAAGCAAAGAAACAAACAAACAACAAAAAAACCAAGGCAGAAAAGCAATCAATTAATAAATAGATCAGTGAATTAATAAATTAAGGCAGCACATTAGTGTCACAGCGTTTGGTTCAACTTTCAGGGAAACAGAGGCGTCCCTCCCAGGAGACTGCAGCCCCGTCACATGTTATCGATGCAGCCCTCTCTTCTATTTCACTTTCCTTTTAGTATCTTTCCCTTTAGATTCATGCCTCTTCTACCACTTTATTTTACACCTATGCATCAAATAGATATATGCAGTTATAGCAAAATACCCAAGATTTATGTTTACATATTATGATAGCATTTATAAGTTATTTCATGTTTGTATTGTATATGTGGATGTGCACATGCATGTAAATAAAAGCCTCATTTCTACCAAGCTGACTCGGAGATGGATTAAATATTTAGGTCTGCTTTTTCTCCTTGTGGTAGTTGTCCCCATTCCTTTTCCCCAGGATCCGCCGGCCTGGCTGTCCTGGATGGGGAATCCCTGGACCAGAGGACAAACTCCACTTTGTACCACTCAGAAAAGAGAAAGAAAGAAATCACCAAAACTTGGTGGAGGCCAGAGCCACACGCCTCAGCAGAGCCAGGCCAGGAGGATGAGCACTGATGGAAAGTCTGCTTTGTTCCCTTGCTCTGAAATCTGGTTTGAAGCAGGGATGCTTTGCCAACACTGGCTGGAAATCTCTTCTCCTACAAGACCCTACAGTGTGGTTTGGAGACATTTCTCCAAACACATCAGCAATGTGGCTGGACAAGATTATCCCTGCTCCGCAGGGGGAAGAACTGAAGCTGAGCAGAGGGTCTCAGAGACTTCAGGTGAGGTGCAAGCGCCCTCCTGGGCTGTCTCCAAGACAGCTGGGTGCTCCCTGAACCCAAGGACTTGCTAAAATGCATAAAGATCAGGTGATGCAGCAGCACCTCGCAAAGTGCCACCAGGCTCAGAGCAGCCATGAACCAGAGCTTAGATTCCAACACAAGCTTTCTTTTGAGGCTATAACCATTGGACCAAGCTGGCTTTGAGATATCCTACTCACCTGCCCAAAATCATTATGCTGGAGCAAGGACAGATCCTTAAATCCCATCAAGAAGCTCCCCTGGCCATTTACACATGGAGAAGGAGCACCAAATCTCCAACCACACCCCTTAGAGAGGGCCTATCACTGCAGCAGCTCAGAACTTATTTACAAAATTTAACAATACCAATTATATAGACCTACTCACAGCAGGGAGCTTTCATCCAAACCACTGCTGTGGTGGCTGCCAGAAATATCAGCAACCAAGCTTTAATGGAGGGGAAACTCACCCAGGAGCTCAAAACCAAATAAATGTTTCTCATTGTGCCATAGAAGCTTTCCAAACCCCGGGCACTGGTGGTTTGCCAAGCAGAGCCTATTCCAAAGGTGGGGTTTTTTTCCCCTGGAAGCCCAGAAGCTCCTCCCCACAGGGCTGGCAGGAGCATGGCTTTCCACCCACTTGGGCTGGCTGACCAGGCAGCTTTTACCCAGAACTGAAGTCTGGGAAGTGCATGAGAAACAACAGAGAGATGGGCTGGGAGGAAGCAGAGACTTATCCCTCAGATACACAGGACAGCAATAGATTAGATTCTGGGGTATGTGGTGAGCTTCAGAGGACCTCTGGACACCCAGCACCAGCATTTCCACCCCAGGAGTTCCTCCTGGAGGGCAGCTTTGATAGCTCTTCAGGAAGGCCAAGAGCTATGGCCTTCAAACCGTCTAGGTTCTAAGGGGTCTCCCAGCCCCACCAGGTCCCAGTTTTGAGCTGCCTGCTCCTGCTGTGCTCCACCTTCACACAGGGATCCTTATGGAAATAGTACCAGCATGACACCCCAAAGCTGCATCCCCACCACGTTTCCCTTCCAAGGAGACAAGCTGTAAGGAGGTGACATATGGACATTGCCCTTAGCTCTCCTCCCTAATGAGAGGCTGCTGCGTGGATTTGCTGGTTCCTTCTTCTTCAGCTCCACCACCACCCCCTCACATCCCCCCAAGAAATGAGAAAGCCTCCTTTTTTTTTTTCCCCCAGCAGGGTACCTGTGAGCTACGCTGGAGAAAGAGGAGGGACATACCATGGCATGATGCCATATCATGTCATTTGGAAGGTGTAGAGATGGCTGCTGTCACAGTTTCTCCCTGCTTCGGTGGGGGAAGAATTGGATGTCCCTTTGGGATCATCATCTTCTCCCCACTCACACATGGAATTAGAACTGAACAGGGTTTTCTTACAGTAAATTCGCAGGGTAGTTCACAGGGACCCCACCAACAGTCAGACCTTCACCGTGCAAGGCACCACACAAACATTAAGAAGCCATCCCCACCCCAGACGCTCCTCGCTTAAATCTACACTTTCTCTGTCTCACTGGAGAGCTGAGAAGGGAAAAAATTAACAAGACGATTGGTTTTTCTTGTTAAAAAATATTTCTTTTCCATAAAGGAGCTGTGTGCCTGAAACAGCAATATTTTTACCCTGAAGCATCAGCACAGGTGATGTCAGGATCCCCCACTCCCGTTGTGCACTAAGGCCCAAATTCCTTTCAGACCGCAACTCCCAGGGGACACAACAGCCTCCATGGCCATAAGAGAGGACCATGGTGCCCTGCAGGAGATGCGGCGGGAACAGGGAGTCACGCTGGAGAGGGAACAGGTTGGAGACACCAAGTTTCCAAACAGCAGTTCCCAGGAGGTATCTCAACGACTTCTCTCCAGACTGAAATATTTCCATTTCAGTCAAAACATGCTGGGTGCTATTTTTGCCAAAAAATCAGCTATTTGAGGAGGGAGGGGAAGGAAAGTATTTTCTAACTAAATATCCAAAATATTCCCTTTCTTTCACTTTGCAATTTTCCTATACGCAAAGGCCATTATCTCTGTATTTCTACCTTTTTCTTGCTTATAGAAGCTGAGCTCTAATAAAGACATATCTTTGGTACCTGGTAAAGCCACAGTCACCTTGAAACCTTTAGACTGTTTCCTAAGCCCACTCAACAGGCAGTGAGCAGGTTTTAGTTTTGTGCGCCACCATTTTAGTTGTGCTTCAGTCTTGAAAAAATGTATCAGATTCTCTTTTTTTTTTTTCCAGGGCCTAAAAGTTACTATTCCCCAAAGAGCTGGTTGGTAATCCTGGGCCACAGTTTAATGGAATGAAAGGTTTTGTTCAGCGCTGGCACAAAATGACTGGTGTGTCCAGAAATTTTGCTGTCCAAAAAAATTGCAGTGAAGTAGGGAGGGGGGAAAAAAAAAAAAAATGTGTTCAAGTCTGACTTACGCTGGCAATGTAGGAAATTGTCCACCCGGCAAGGAAGAGGCTGTTGTTGCTGGGCCAGAACGCGAGTTACAGTTTTACACGGGGTGCTAATGGACTACATTTTTTTTGCATTAGAGATTGTAAAATTAAGAGGGGGGAAAAAAAAAATAAAGTTGGTCAGGGAAAGAATTTACAAGGAAGGAAGCTGTCATTGGTCTATTTAAAGTCTGTTGGAGGCTAATGATGAATATTCGGTTACCATAGTAGGTCTATTACAATAGCAGAGGGGGACTGGAAGGAAGCGGGGAGCCGCGTTGCGCAAGGCGCGGTACAGTCGCTGCACCGCCAGGCTCCCAGCCCAAGGGCCACCAGGAGAGAACATTGATTTGCATTAAAGCTTGGGGGAAGAAATCAGGGATGAGGTCCAAGTCTATAGTGAAGGCACTTGGTCCTGAAGTCTGGCTTCAGTTTTCAACTCCCACCTGGCTAGATGTTTCCCAGACCCATACGATCGGACACTGGCTCTGCATCGCTCTTTCCTTATAGCACACGTATTCCTCTTTAGAACTCATCGTATAACCCCGACCCTACAGATCCAGATTTACAAGTGAATCCTTCCTGCATTTCCCAAGCAATTCCATCAAAATCAGACCTCTGCCAGGTGGAATTAGCAATTCCCAAAGTCCCATTTCCAATTAGCAATTCCCCAGTCCCATTTTCACATCTTTCCCCTCCCCTGGCCAAATGATGCTCTCCCTATGGCAGGCTTAGGAGCTCCATAAGATCACTTCTGCCACAAATTCATATTTATCAAAGGATTCAGAGAAGTAAATTCAAGAAGGTTTTTTAATCTCAGAGCTGGAAACCTTACTGGCCTCTGCAAACTGATAAAAACTGTGGAAAAATTATAAATATAGGCCTTCACAGAGCAGTCCACTTTCTTGCTTATCACTATGCTGTAAGAGGGTAATAATTTTCAATGTATTTTCATGTACAGAAAGCCAACGCTTAGTAAATGCAGCTGCCAAAAACCTTGTTAAAAATTTCTTTTGAGATCCACAGTTTATAACCAGGAAGCCTCCACATTGAAGCATCCAACCCCTAGTAGCCCTAAGCCAATTATTTTAGAAGATACTGCCGATATTTCTGCAACAAAGCATTATATACTGAGGCTCTCCAGAGCTGCTATAGCCCATGGTAACAAGACTTCAAAAGACCTCTTAAATGTCAGGCCCCGAGGATCATGCCGATACCTGCTCGAGGTCAAGATGAGGCATGATACAGAAGAGGATTTCCCCATGGTTAGCTGCTGCCATGTTCTTACAGCGCTCTTTTGAAGCCCCTAAGCCCCTGTCTAGAGCTTGTTAACAATGGAAATCCCTAGTCTAAAATCTGACTAAGTGTATATCAGTGGCCAAACACAGGGATTCCCCTCCACACTTCCCAAATTGCCAGGAGATCTTAACTCCTCCTTGGTCTGTCACTATGAAAGGACAAATGTTTGCCACCCTCAGTCCTGTTCCCTCCACGTGCCCAGCACCTGTGGGTACAGCAGTGCAGGATCAGACTCCAGTTCCAGAAGAGAAAATAGAAACCCAAAGGCCTTTGAGTTCTAGGGGGGAAAAAAGAAAAGAAAAGAAAAGAGTGACTGGAATAAATATACCATCTCCCGGGAAAAAAAATAAACAAGAAAACAATTGTTAATG